GCACAGGCAGTGGAGCAGGAACAGGTATCCTGGGAAGAGAATAAGGACATTGCTCAGGTGTGTAAAGATAGGGATGAGGAAGGAGCAGCTGTAGAGAAAGGAAAATGAGTAGTGGTTTTAAATTGGAGGAGATTCAACTTGTATTAGATATAAGGAAGAAAATTTTTACAGTGAGGGTGGTGAAATACTCAAACAGATTGCTCAGAGAGGCAGGATAATGACCACCTCAGAGACTCCAGATAGTGAGGATTTATTTTCTCTGTTTTTACATAAACTTCCTAGGAAAAAAGCAATCTTGTGCTTTGGTTTCCCAATGAAAGAACATGGGGATATTCCACTCTCGCTGAGTACAGAGGAAGGATGTATTGTCTTGGAAGATATTTATTGCCACAGCAACACCCCATGGGCAAATGTCAGCCATCCCCACTCAAAGGTGTGTTTTGAGCACCTCCAATTTAATAAAAGCTATTTTCAAATGGCTCCCTTCTACTAAGCATCTCTGCATTCTCAGATAAACATTTCTGCATCATCATTTGATTTTTTCCTCTCATTTCCTAACCTGCAAACACACAGGCCAAACCCACAAGACTTAGGCAGTGTAAAAAGTGCTTAAAAAGTGAATGAATGCTGTCAGACCAGAACTGCCCATTGTCTTTCTTCTTACAGCTGTTGATTGATCTGAGGTCAGAAAGGGGATTTTTGTACTGTGCCTCTGCAGAAAAAATAAAAGGCAAAAAGAAACCGGTGAAATCTGCAAAGGCAAATTTGACCAGGTTTAACTTCAGATGCTGAAAAATCCTTTTTCATCTTATGCAAATGGAAGGAATGTTTTTACACACCAAGACATCACAACAAATGTTCTTCTCACTTCCAGAAGACCAGAATAAGCTAAGCACGGATGACTAACCTCATGTGAAGGAGGAGGGGCCAGCAGAATGTTACCTATTTTTTGACTACTTCTGTGCCAGGTGCATGTTTCTTTGCTGGTCTGGAAGCCTGCAGCTCTCTCCTGCTCTCTGCCAGCTGTTTGCCAGCTCACTACAACATCAACCAAAACAAGGGTGAGCAGCTTCTGCAGACCGGGCAGATGCAATGCCCTGCAGTTGCTGTTAACATTTCTTTGCTGAGTTTTCTCTTATGGTTTCTTGCAGGATGAAATTACCTCTAAAGGGCTACCTCAGGTCTGTAACCTCTTCAAATATTTAACTCTGGTGGTTTTTATCTTTTCTTCAGCAAAAAACAAGGTCAAGCATTTTATCAAGTCCAAAAAAGACATCAATGCAAAAGGGTGAGAATAAAAAAGCAAACCCTCTGTACAAAGCACTTCAGTGTACTCAAGCAGCATATTAGAGAGCAAAAGGAGCTTTCTGGCTCCTATCTGGCTGTTGTTACAATCGTTAATGTGGTTTTGTTCCATTACTAATGGCATCAGAATGAGAAATCAGGCCCTCCAGAAAAACTTGAGAGACTGTTGTTTCCCATCTGGCAATGAGAAGAAAGGAAAAAAAAACATTTAAAATAATGGAAATAAGCAACGGGAAGACCTAAAATACTGAGCATGTAGCAGTAAAATCTGCAGATGCCTACAGCAGGGTAGGAGTGGCAAACTAAATATTTTACAGACCTTCTAAGTAATTCCCAGAGCTTGGTAGTTTAAGGCTACTTTGTAATTAAACAAAGACAACCTAATTTTTTACAGTGTGTATTATATTGCTTGATACATTTATGTTTTCTAGAATTGCTGATTGACAAGCAGAGAAAAATGAAACCAGAAGAGCAGCACTAATGGATGAAAAACCTACAACCTGAAGTGGCATATCATTAGCCTCATCTGAATGTGGCTGGACAAGATTTTAATAAAAAGCTTTGCTAGGAAAATTCATCATGAATATACCAAGGTAAGTAAAATTAAGAATAACACTCCAATCTGGCTTTTCTGTAAAGTTACTCTGAGTTAACCACCAAATCCTGCAGCAGAGCCAGGCAGGATGCATCCCTTCACTCACACCTGGCAGAAACTGCTCCCCCTCTGAAGCCTTGCACCTATGACCAAGCACCAAAGCCCAGGATGTCCACAGCATCCTCTCCAAACTCCAGCACAATAGCAGGTGATATCTGCTGAAGTTCATCCCCATTGCCTTTGGGGTGCTAGGAGGTGGATGGGTGCTGGCAGGACTCAGATGGGTCAAGCATCAAGGTTAAATTCAGTTTGATTGGTTGCTAATCAATAATCCAGTCATCATCAGTACAGGAGGAAATTACTTGAGGTTATGCTAGAAGATATTACTAAAAATTGCTTCTCTGGAAGGGTTGTCAACCACTTGAACAGGCTGCCCAGGGAAGTGGTGGAGACACCACCCTGGAGGTATTTAAAAGACATGTACATGTGGTTCTTATGGGCATGGCTTAGTGGGGGACTTGGCAGTGCTGGTTTAATGATTGGCTTGGTGATCTCTTCCAGCCAAACTGATCCTATGATTCATTGAAGCCAAGTGATTCTCTCCATAGTGACTTGTCGATGGGCCGTACCCCAAGGCCTCCAGCAGCAGCCCCCACAGTGCAGCTCATATGGCCACACTTCTCCACGGGCTGCAGGCAAGAAGACTGCCCCAAAACTCCCCCTGTCCCTGCTGCTCCCCTGCCTTGCCAGTGGGCCCCCACCCTGCCCAGCTGTCAGCCAGCACTGCCATTTCACACTCCAATGCATTTCTGCTTAAGAGAAACCTCCTCCCTTGCAGGGGGGATGTTTGCAGCACAGAGAGAGGAAGCATTGCTCTCGGGGAGAGAGGAACCAGCCAGCTCTCAAAGAAATACGGCTTATAATGCTTTCTTAATGCTGAGCACTTTGTGATATGTATTTCTTGAGGTGCAGTTGATACTAAAAAAACCCTCTAATCTCTAGATATTTAATAATTTTCCCTTTAAAAAGAAGGAATTTAAAAGTTCTTTGCTGTTAATTATTGATGTTGAACACAAACACAGGACTTCCTTTTATCGCAAGACTGAACATTTGACCTATGGTAGCCAAAACTGTGAAAATTTGAGAGGACCTCCAAGCCTGTATTTCAATTTCATTACTATCGTCTGTCTTTCCAATAAAGTGCATTAACTCAGTGCAACCAGTTGGATTTAAAATATGCAGGGTTCAATTAATTTTGTGTGAGGATATAGCTCATAAGTTGTGCTGCCAAAATAGTTCACTGGGCCACAAGTTCAAAAATAATTTATATAAAGGCTGAAAGAAACAAAAAAGGAAAATTACACAAAGCACATCACCGTGAGACTTTCTTTAATGCTCTGAGGAATAAAACTGCCATAAAGTGATGGGATCAGGAAGAAACTTCACCTGACACAATCTGTCCCAGGGAAAGCACTACACACTTTTTCATGCAATTACATTTTCACCAGGGACACCCAGGCACGACATTGGCCTAACGCAGCAGAGAGGATTTGGCAAAGCACAGGAGCAGCTCAGACAGATGAGGTGGAAGGGAAGCATTTCATGGCCAGCCTCTGCAGATCCAGTGCAAACACACTTCCAGGCAACCCCAGCACCGTGGCAGGCTGCAAAACCTACATGGGATCTAACACTTGGGCAGAACATCCTCACTGATCTCTCCTTCCCTGCCCCTTCATCTGAGTATTATGGCTGAAGCTTCAGGAGATGCACCAGAAGTTGGTGAAGCTGGAGATTTTTTTGCACCTGAACAAAATCTGGGCCCTGGAGTCCATAAAGATTGCACTCTCTCTTGTCAAGGCCTGACTTAATTCCTGGAAGTCCCTCCTGAGATGTGCATGAAAGAAGCTGTAATGCCATATAGAGCATGGCAGCACATGATAGTGTCACACTTGGTTGAAAAGCCCCAGCAGAAGTGAGTCCCCTGCAGCTGAGCCTTGCACAAGCCTCACTCCTGCTCAGCCCTCCATCCAGAGCTGTGCTTCAGCCATCCAGACCCCTGTGGGAATCACCTGTTCATAAGGAAACCTGCATGTAAAACCTGCATGCAAACCATACAGTGCAGGGGGAAAGTGACTGCTCAGCACAGGTGGCTCGGGCAGATCGCAGCTGTCCCTCCCTGCCTGGGTGATTGTCCTCTCCTCCACTCACCCTGAGGAGCCTGCCCTGACCAGCACGCTGAAACTCCTCTCTTTATTCCACAACTCTACTAAAGAAAACTTGAGGAGAGGGAAATGCAAGGAAGAGAATGGAAAATCTGCAAAAAGGCTGATCCAGTGTGTAACTCTTTCCCGGGTCAGAGGGGTGTATACATATACAAGGATGCCTCTGAGGAAGGATGAATTTTCAGGACTGAGATGCTTTCATGTTTTCTAATCATGTTTCCCACTATCTCACACTGTCCGGTGCTTCTGAAAGAAGCACAAGGATTGCTGGGGACCTCCTCTGGACGATAATAGAAGGGAGAGAGGAGCACCTAGTGCGTGTGCCGGGTACAGTGGGATGGGAACCAGGTTCATTTTCCAGCGTGGTCACCTGAGACGATCTCTGGGGACACAGGGATGCTGCTCTCCAGCCTTCCCCCCATCCCTGTCTCACCTGCATCATCATCAGACTTCTTGAAGCAAAAAAAGTCAGTTTTAGCACCCTGAAGTGAAATTTCCCTTGCAGATGCCCAACCACACTTAAAACCAACCTCCTTGGCCAGATGTGCCGATCCCGGGCTCGGCTGCCAGCTCCAGGCTCCGGCCGGGCACGGCAGGGCCGGGCAGGGTTGCGCCCATCGCGCTCATTTCCCGGCTGGGCGATGGCCGGCGGCCGGGCAGCGCCTTCCCTTCCTCAGCCAATGGCATCTCCAGCCCGGACGGGAGATGGCGGGGTGTGAGCGGGGAGCGCCCGGGGGCCGCTGCGGGGGGAGCTGGAGCAGCCCCGGCGCCGCGGCGGGAGCGGGAGGAGGAGGAGGGAGAGAAGCGAGAGAGAGGCCTCTGGGGCAGGCAGCCCCCGGGCTCGGGCCGCGCCGCCGGCCCAGCCACTTCAATGCAACTCCTGAGGCATCGGCTTCCCGCTGATGGGACCGCTGCAGGGCCCTCGAGGCCGGAGCGCCGTCGTGGGGACCGTCACCCTCTGCCTGGCCGCCGGGTGGGCTCTGCAGAGTAAGTGTCCGGCTCCGTCCCTGCCTCCCCCGCTCCCTCCCCGGCGCTTCCCTGCTGCTCCTCGCCGCGATGCCCCGGCTCAGCCCCGGCTCAGCCCGGCATCCGCGGGCGGTGCAGAGCGCCCGCCGACCCCCGCCCGCGGCCAGAGCTCTACCCGGCCCGTCCGCAACCGGGAGCGGCTGGGGAGGGACGGGGACGGGACGTACCGAGGCTCAGGCAGGCATCGCTGCTCTCTCTCCCTGACACGGTCAGGGGAGGCTCGTCCCCGCCTCTGCCGCTCGGAGGGAGCGGGGGAGCCGAGCGGGAGCAGCGCCCCACGCCACGGCCTCACTCCGCTCCGGCAGGGGCGGCCCCAGCAGCCGCCGTGCCCCGGCCGCTTTTCCAGCGGCCGAGGGAACCAGGCGTGGAGGGGGAAACAACCCGGTTAGTCAGCCCGAGGGGTGTCTAACTGGGAAACGCGGCGGTGAGGAGGGCAGGTGGGTTCTGACCCAGCACCCCACGGGGGGTGGGTGGGGATGGGGCAGCCTCAGGGACCCGTCCGGTCCTGTCCCAGAAGGGCCTGAGGGAGGCTGCTGCCAGCCCCACCCTGGCCCGGGGAGCGGGGTGTCAGCGCCGCCAGCAAGTGTGGTTCGGTCACGGCGCTCCACCGAGAGAAGTGACGCGCAAGCAGGACACCAAAGGGTGGAGAAGCAGCCTGCAGGGTTTCAGAGGCCCGTGTCAGAGCTGTCCCCCAGTTCAGAGCTCCTGCTGGCCCCGCCAGCCTGTTTGATTCCCACTCACTGCCCAGCACACTGCAAGCCCAGCTGCGGTGCCGCGGCCAGGTCTGGTAGGCAGAGCCGCACTTCCCACCATGACTCTTGGCCAGGCAAATACTTTGGAGTAGAGCAGCGTGCCAGGACGGCAAACTCCGTGAGCTCTGAGCAGCCCCTGTATGCGCTTCTCCTGGGTGCGTATTTTACTGGGTGTGAAGGGGCTGGGTTTGGGAGCAGCATAGCAGTCATCTTCCGTAGGGCGCTGCATGTGGGTGTGATGTTTGCTCTCCAGCCTGGTGGATAGACTGGTTCAGGTGATCAAGGCACACTGCCTACTAAAAATGTTTTTGAATGGTTAGATAGATACTGCACTGCCTTTTTTAGATTTGCATACCAGAGAGGGACAGAACATGTTTGCAAATCATTTAATGGAAAGATTTTAGTTCTCTCTTTTTTACATTTATTTTGCAATTGCATATTCAAAACAAAGCCTCTAAAAAACATGAAAGGGTCACTGAGGGGAAACACTCAGCTCCTGCCTGGTCAGAAACAGTGGGAAAAGGCTTTAAATAAACACACAGACTAGAAAACAATTGGAACAATTTGCAGCGATTACAAGAGGTTCCCGGCTGTTCTGTTTCTGTAGCTGGCACAAACCTCGTTTTCACAGCTCTGGTTAGTCTCTCCTGCACACAGGCTGAACAGCAGACCACAGCTCAGCTGAGGATGCATTGAACTGCCCAGAAAGCATGATGTTCCTGCAGGGGGACTGGGCAGCATGAGTATGGACAATGCTCATGAAAGGAGAAGCCCAGGAATGTTATTTGGAAAAAGCCTAGGTCCTACTTGGTACCATAGATGAGAGCCTGGGAACTGAACTGGCTTCTTGAGCTCCCCTACCTTATCCTGACCAGCAGAGTTAGTGAATTCTGCTACAGATCCCAAATACACTGAAGTCAGGTTGTAATTCACCCATCTCTTCCATTTGTGGTGGATGTGGAGGGCTCTTATTTTAAGATTTTTTTCATTTTTTTTTTTCCCTTGGAGATTTTTTTCTTTGCCTTTCTTAATCATTCTTATCCCTGAAGACTCTGCAGAACCTCCAGGATCATTCCCAGGTGTCCTGCTTTGCACTTATGCAGTGTAGCTGAGGGTCTCATTTTCACTCCCCCACTCGGTTACAGACATTTACAGGTCAGCACTTTTTCATTTTGCTCTTGCAGTCAGGCTGTTCCCACAGTAAGGGAGTAGAGCAGCTGAGCTGCTCCAAGCCAAACCAGGAAAAGGCATTCAGCCTTACTGTGTGCTTTATCTGCCTTTTGTCTGCTTTGATTTTTGTGGGTAGATAACAGGATTTCAGTCTTTAGCCAAGGGTCTCAGACAAGCCATTAATCAAAAGAAAAAATGTATACCAGCTAAAACTCCAGTGTTGGTGTTCATCCAAATCTTCATGCAGAGACACCAAATGCAAGCAGAAATGATTGCAGTTAGACATTAAACTAAGCCGTCAGTTCAGTTTCACAGTGTCACAAACAGCTCCGTAATCACATCAGGAGGAAGCAGATGAAAATTAAATATTCTTTTATATGCATTTTTGCCCAGATATCATCAGGAACATGAAGTCCTTGGCTTCTCAGGGACTGCGTACCTTTGGATACATGTGATTTATCTGCACTGGCTTATTAACTGGTGGCCTTTAAGAAGCTGATATTTCTAATGTTCATTACACATCCTGAAAACATGACAGGGTCCCTGCAAGACTTCACATACTTATGCCTACTACATTCTTGCTTTTGAGGGATGGTAGTTAATGAATATGATAGATTACCTTGGACAACTAAACTTTCCATGTAAATGCAGGATTTTTAAAGGAAGCTAGTTACTGATGAACAAAAAAACATTGCTCAGTTTTGCTCAGTTTTGAGAAAATGTTATGCTTATCCAAAGTCCCTTTCTATGTGGGTGTTAAAACATTGAAACACATGCAAATACATGGCCACTATGGTGGAAGGATTTTTGCTATCACAAATTATAAATGTGTATGTAGTCTTCAAGTATGTATGTTGCTTTTATGGAAAGAAGAAAGAAGAAGCTATTGAAAAGCATAATCTATCCTCTCTTAAAACAGATTGCTGAGATAGGTAGGATGAATCACCAGGATCCAGAGGTCCCAACCTCCCCTGGACAGTTGGTGCAGCATCACCTCCAGACTCATCACTCTACTTTGTCTTTCAGCTCCCGGAGGAGTATCCTTAGTTGTCCCACAACCCAACATCAATGCAACAGTGGCACAAAACATCCTCCTCTCAGTTGAATACTCTTGCCGAGGCGTGGCCACCATTGAGTGGAAGCATGTGTCGAGCTGGGGCACCACCAGCATTGTTGAGTGGAGAAGTGGGAATTCTGCCAACATATCCACAATCTACAAGGACAGAGTGACTACTTTTGAAAATGGCTCTATACAGCTTCGGAATGTGGGCATGAGAGACGCTGGCTACTATTTTGTCACTGTAATGGAGGAGCATGGAACCAATGCCTATGGCACCATCATAGTCAATGTTTATGGTACAAACTAGACAGGACTTCTTGGCTTTAAACTCTGTTTAAGCATCAATCTGCTTGTATTCAATTTTATAATATTTTTTCCATTTTCCCTACAGAGATTATCTATGAAGATTTGCATTTTGTAGCAGTTCTCTTCACATTTCTTGCTGCAGTATCTGCCATTCTAACCTGCTTTATGTGGCTGTGTAATAAATCTCTGCATCTATTTCAGAAGAAGACAACACACAAACTAACAGGTATTTCTCTAAAAATGTAGTCAGGGTATAGGGTCTTCAAATCTGAAATTTGAGCCTAAAATTTGTAGCATAAAGGTGACAGATAGGGCCACTGAGAAACAAGACTGAAGGTCTCAGATCAGTTGTCCTGTTCTAACTCCTTACTAGCTGAGGCAACTGAATAACAGGTGTTTAGTTGAAGAACAATCCACAGGACAGCTACCTTATTTGTTTCACATTAGAAATAAAAAAATACTTCCCAACACTGCTGATTGCAAAACTTGGGGAGAAAAGGACAGAGCTGAAATAACCCCCCGTCAAAGGGCAGGAGACAAAGTCAAGAGCATCAGCAACTCTCTGAGTTCATATCAGCAAGGTGTATCCTAGGGGAAAATAATCAAATGACCCTCGGGAGTGGCCCCTATTTCAGTTCAATCATCATGGAGGATTGCATCTCCTCCTCTCAAACCCCCTCTTCATCTGTTCACTTTCGGTCCAGGTGCAGACTCCAATGAACACTGAGTAATATCAAAACCTGACACTGAAGATAACAGTCATGAAAAGCAGGTCAAGGGAACACAAGAGCTACACTGAAGGGACATATTAGAGAAGAAATTTCCAAGCTACTGCCAGGAATATTTGGCCTAGGCAGAAAGACAAGGTGCATGTTATGAGCCTGGGATCAAGCTCTTAGGCACATCTTTGAAATAGGAGGTTTCCTTTAACACTTCAAAATATTTGAGATGTTCATCTGCCTTCTTTGTAAGTGCAGATCCCCTCATGGTTTCTTGCCCTCTAAGTAAAAGATCTGTATTTCTTCTATGATAAGTTTTACATTACAACAAGCAGCCTAGCTATCAGTATTTTACTGGAACAACAGAGACACTCAAGCATCCTAAGATTCATGGCCCAGACTTTGTGTGAACTCTGCAAAACCTAATAGAAGAAGAAATTAACTTGGTTTGAGCTGCCTCTTCCTTTCTGTTGCTCTCATATGGCTCCTAAGTGTTGCTGCTGTTTTCATGGTGCATACACCACTCACTAGCTTCTGTAGCCTCTGAAAACTTGCCTATCATGCTAGAATATACAGGATTTTGTTTAGATAAAGCCTCTTCCTCCAGCTGAAGCCAGTCTTCCCACAGAGCTGAATTGAATAGACATATTCATTTAACATATGGCAGAGTTCAAGAAAGCACAATTCTAGAAACTTGTGTGATCTCCCAGGAGATGGTCCAAAGCAGAGACCTAATTTCAGCCCCAATTCTATCTCAGAAGAGCCCTCTGTTCAGAAGTCATGAAGAGAGATATATGAACAGTCCCTATGGACTAAGTTTTCTTAGTGCCTTTAGCCTTGTACTGGAAATCATCACTTTAAAGATTGTGAGAAGCTCTTTATACAGTTAAATATTTTGAAAATATGCATTTAAAACCTAATTTTAGATGAGAAAGCTTGAACTAATATTAAAAAGTTAAAAATGTCTTGGCACAGTTAATTTTGGAATGTTTGCCTTCCAATCCATTTGCCAATCAATAATAATATCCTTTCATTTACAGCAAGTACAACAGAAGAGATTGAACTGGAAACCATTGAGTGTTAGCCAAGGACTGTATCATAATAAAAATAACAATTCTACCTCAGGAGAAAGTGTTGGCCAAGAAAGCAAGAACAAACCTAGAAGGTAAAATGTTTGTGACTACTGCAGAAACATCCTGACTTGCAAAGTAATTAAATCAGCAGTGTCTGATGGAGCTGTTTCAACCTGTTAGGTTTTCAGTTCTGCTAGTCAAGGTCAGAGTAAAAAAGAGTAGGCTTTCATGCTGAGCATGAACACATTTTTGTGGCTAGCTAATAAAATCTAGAGCCTCTACCACTCTTAAAAACAACCAACCAACCAAGCCTCTAAGATCAACCCATAAAGGAAATTACCATGGTCTTGAAGGACACCTGCATTTTGGATACAGCAAGTCTCCTATTACAGAGTGGTCATTAGTATCCATCAACATAATAAATTAAATATCTAATTACAGTATTACATTAAAAAATTAATTGCAAGCACTGAATCCTGTTTATTGCACCTATGCTGCTGCTTTTGGGTGTAAGGAACTTCCTAAAGCTCTGAAGACAAACTGCAATTTTTCATGAGACAAAACTGACTTTGAAAGAACGCTGAGCTGGTCAAAGTTCTCCCGCTTGTGTTTCCCGCAGTTGTTTACACTGCCCCAGGATGGATGTTAACACACATTTTATGACATTACTAGAACAGGTGGTTGTACAAGGAACAGTGCAGGCAGGCACGAAAGAGAACACTGGCCATGAAGATTAGAGGGGTCAGATAAAACAGTGACACACATCACCAGTTGGGGTGGCAAAATACTAAACAGTTTTGTTGTAAAAGATGTCAAGTCCTTTGCAAACTTAGCCCAGTGCTGAACAATCTATCTGAGAAAAAAAGTTATAACAGCATGTCTTTGAAATACAGTATTTACAAATACAGTTCTAAAATTGCTCCTGTCGAGAAGCCACCTTTGCTTTCCCTATATTGTACGAAAACATCAAGTTACCCAACTAATGTTTTCTTGAATCTGCATATTGCACGGATTGCAATTCTCCACCTGTAGATCTGTGGGGTGAAATAACATTTCTGTTTGTCAGTGAGAAAGCAGTAAACTGACTGAGTTCCAAATTATTCTGTTTTGCTTTTGTAATGAAAATTTTGCAGTGTGAAATAAACTTTGAACTTGGAAGACATCGTGGACTAGTCTGCACCTGTAGATTGCCACGTTGCTGTTTGGGACAAACTGCTGCTACTGCCTTTTCCACACTTTGTCTCACTTGTTTGCAAAAGCCTTTTACAGGACAGGCTGACAGAGCTTTGCCTCTGGTCAGGGACTGGGATGCTCAAGTGCAGAGGTACTGTGGGCTCGATTTAGAAAAACATTCAGGGAATGTCTCACCAAGTGAGTAACGATGCAGGTAGGTGCCAAACAAGCCAAAGCATCTTGTGCTCAGTACCTTTAAACCATCCCACACTGTGCTGACCATCTGTAGTGCCAAGGGCCTCTCTCCCACTCATAAACTGAGGTACCAGATTCAGCTGTTTGCTCCTTCCTACATCTAGAACAGGTCAAAAAAGGTGAGAAATGAGGTAAGTATCAGATACAGCAGACAAGTAACAGTTTATTCCAATTCTCTGCTTTAAACTTTCATTGTCCATTTTTGTGTCTTTGAGTGAACTAAGCTTTGACAGCAGGGAAACTGTAAGTGCATCTATTTCAATCACCAAACTTGAATTACTTGGTAAAGTATGCTTATAGAATATGGAAAACATTGTTAGGGGTTCCTTTTGAGCCCTAAATCTTAGACTTTGAATGAATCTTAGACTTTTAAGGCAAAAAGTATTAAAGCACTTGGAATGTGAAGCTAGGTATTAGGCTGAGCTGAATACACAGCAGGTGCTCTGCCAGACTTAGGAATTACAAAAAGTGCAGCCTACACATAAAACCACTATTACCTGCTGACACTGACCTGAACACTGCAATTGCCAGAGGAAGTCAGCAAACATATCCAGACATGAATGACCATTCCAGTGCATTGCTGTGACTGCAGAGGTCACACACACATTTAAACCACAATGTTAGAAAGCTGGAAGGAAAGTAGGAAATGAACACTTAAAATTCTTCAGTTTAAAATGTACTACTACAAAAGAATTTTACAACCAGCACAGTTTTTCTATGTCTTTCAGCTTGGCTGAAGTCACTGCAACTTCAGGCACCCAATCCTTGGCCATTAAACCTGGTGCCAACCTCACTTTTAGGCAGTAATATCCCATATGAATAGCAGGGGCTCAAACAGTATTCAGAGAGAACATCCAGTACAGTTAACCTGTATATAGCTTTCTTTATAGACAATTCCTCACACAAAACTTTTACCCACAATTTAGCATGCTTACTCTACACAGGTAACGTTACTTAAAAAATACATTTTCCTGAAAATGCTGTTTGCCACTATGCATTATTAAGGTCAATATTTCAGGTACAGAATGTGAGGCTAAACTGTAGCAGTTTCTTGCTACTCTGGAGCATTTAAAGTTTTATGGAAGGTTGTTACAGTAGAAATTCAGAAACTAACAGCTGTTCTTACTGTACTTGTAAACTCCCTGTGGAACAACAGCAAATTTAATTTTGGAGCATTCTAGATGATCAAAGGGATTAAGGCATTTTACTTTTATACTTCAATTAAAGAGATGTCCAAGTTCACCAAATTGCTTTGGCAATCAATTGAAAAAGCCTTAATAATTCACTAATGTCATCATTTCATATTCAAAGATGCACTACCAAGTTTCAAGGCTATCTCTCTGTTAGATGTCTAATCAGTCTGTTTTCCAATAAAATTAGGAATCCCTGTGTATTCAACACCAAAACACTGACCCTCCAGATCTATGACTGATCTTGACAGATCTCTATGACAGATCTCTAATGACTCTTTTTTGATGTTGTTATTATTATTTTTTCAGCTAGACCTAGAAGTCTTGACAAGTGTTTTCATGCTAACATGCAGAGCTTGCTGTTCTGCAACACAGGAGACATCCTATTCAGGAGAGAAGTCCTGCAACCATGAGATTGTAATAGCTCCACACTGATCTGATTACTTGGTAACTAAGAACTTGATGAAAAGGCTATTGCTACATGCAGACCTGTCAATTTAGGTTAAGAACAATAAAGCATAAAGACATGTCCAAGTTTCATAGACTCATCTTCTAGTAAGAGATTTGTTGTGTTAGCAGGAGTCAGAACAGCCTCATCTAGTCAGATGCATGAACGCATGTTGGCTGAACTGTTCACCAAGAAACTACTCCCCCTCTGCCTGTAATCACACAGTGTTTGCTGGCACAGACCTGGCATCACAGGGCTTCAAGATCAAGAGACTTATTTTCAACTAGGGCTTTTAATTTTCATCAGTTGTCTTGGGTAACACATGAGCACCTGAAAGAAAAACCCTTTCTCTCTCTTAGTTCAGTCACACAGAAGCAAGTACTTACAGGAACTGGAACAAGATGCTCCATGCTGGCCAACACCAAGATAAGTACAAGAACTGCTTTGGACACCTGCTGAGCAGGAGCTTGCTGCTTATTTTCCTACGATTATGCTTTATACTTGAAAATACAACAAAATAACAACTGTCACCATGGAAGTGTGATGCTCAATTTGATCATGTTTATGTGCAAGAAGTTCATATATATATATACAGACAGACACCTCATAAGACAATACAGACATGAATATGAACCAGTTTACACAGACAGGTTGCAAAAAGACCCTTAGCACTTAAGTACCAAACAAAATGAAAGCTTTGTTGAACACCATACTATGTTTCAAGAAGGCTAAAATTACAACCAAAACTATAAAAAAGTGACTTTTTTGTTTCGAAAGAACTCAAGAGAGCTGATATTCGGGAAGATATTATTATTTCCCTGGATAATAACCAATCATGGAGAATGCAGAAGGAAGACCCAGATGCTCAAGTGTGGAGGTTCACTGCATGAGAGTTATGTCCTTCTATAGAGTCACTAAGTCACAAGTCACCCACGAACTAAAATTGTCAGAACTTTGCCAGCCAAGTAAGGCCCTTTCCTCTATATTCTTGTAAAAAACAAGTTCAAAAACAAGCAAGTAGTCAACATGACACAGGCCATCAGAGAGGAAAGACTTTGCTACAGGCAGTGACTTTGTAACACTCTCAAATTAAACTGCTAAGTAAACATATTTCTCAAAATAAAGGAGTCACCCAGAATCCCCGTCAATGTACAAAAATTCCAACTCAAGAATGCATCAACTCAAGGACTACCAAATTTAATTTTATAAACAAAAAATACATTAATTACTCATCTATGTCACTCAGGACACAGCAAATTTCAAAAGATACAGCTGAAAGGAACTTTTACAAAAAATGGTATGTATTTTATATGCCACCAGAAAAGGTTTTATTACAAATACCAAAATGGTTATTTCTGTACAGGAAATAAATTTGATTTTGCTTCCTTGTATTGGCCCATAGCTCCCATTTCCCTTTGCTGCACTGGCAGTTATCATTGCACAGAGACACCTCAAAGCCCTCAGAGAGAGGCTGATGCTTCACTAGCAAGGAGTTAGGGCAGCCATGAGGAGTTCCATCTTATACACAAAGTTCCGCCCTTCCATTTTGTTCCACTGCACCTCCTTGAACGGCCCCCGGAGATGATTCCACTTGCTGTCCTGCAGGACGTCGCCCTTGGGGAGATCCTTGCACTGGCTCCGTGGGAACTGAACCATGACTTTGCTGCCGCTTTCCGGGCCGTTACGGACTGCGGGGAAAGGAGATCTCAATGAGCACTTTTCCACTGGAGGCATTCCTCATACTGAATATTCCTCCTGGTGTATTCTATACTTTACTCCTCCTCAATTCCAAACATGCTGAAAGCAAACAAGGGAACTTCTCTTCTTTTCTTTCTCAAAGCTTTTTCTCTGGGTTTTCTCTCTCATCTCCCATATCTCTATGATTTTGTTGCTTTCACACTGCAGGTTCTTGGTTAGCTCAAGACAGAGAAACTTTTAATAAACCCCAAAATATTCATCTAACAAATGCATTTCTTTTTCTCCAATGATGCCAGGAAGGGCAAAGGCTTCATTGCTCATTCTTTCTTTGGATGTATTCCCCACTGTTCTATTGAAAAACATATTGTTTCTAGTGGGTTTCTCTCTAAGAGACAGGATCTAAGTCATTAGGCAGTTAATTTTAATCACAAAATTCTGTGAGACTAATGGAGGGGTGGTGGTGCTTCACTGGCTTGGATGGGTTTCTATGTTTTCATGCTGGGGACTGGTGTGTGTTGGCTTTTTAAATGAACAGTTAGAGAGGTACCACCTAGCTTTTCCCCCATCTATCAAGCTAACCTTCTATAAAGAGATAACTATCAGGCTGATTGAACATAATTTCTCTTTCACAAATTGACGCCAACTACTCCTCATCACCACGTTCTCCACAGTATGTTTGGAGAATTCTTCTGAGATTATTTTTTTCCAACTCATCTTCCCAGTAATTGCAATGAGACTGAACAGACTGTAGTTCTCCACATTTTCCTTCTTGAATACAGGATGTAACATCTGCCTTCTTTCAGTCCTCAGGAGCCCTTCCTGAGCCTGGCCTTTTAGGATCAAGAGTGGCCTTGCAGTGACATCAATCAACACCCTCAGCAGTCATGGATATATATATCCCACCTGGTCCCATGAACTTGTATATGTCTAAGTCTGTTCAAAGGTTCTCTAACCTGGTCTTCCACTACTGAGGCTGAATCTTTGCTCCAAAATTTCCCACGAGTCTCACAGATCCATAACTGACGACCAATCTTAAGACCAGAGTAAAGAAGGTACTGAGTACCTTGGCCTCCTCCATGTCCTGTGCCACCAGGTACTCTCTGTTTAACAGCAGTCCCACATTTTCCCTAATCTCTCCTTTGCTGCTGACATACCTGTTGAAGCTCTTCTTGCTGCCCTGTACATCCCTCACCACATTCCTGTCCTACCCTTAGCTTTCCTATCCTTACCAATGCATGCTTGGATAACCTCTCTATATCCCTCCCAGGACAACTACTTATAAGCTCTTATGTCATAAGTTCAGCCATGGGCTCCTTGTTCATACACACAGATCTTCTGTCACCTTTGCACAACTTCCTGAACATTAGGAATGACCATTCTTGAGCTTGAAAGAGGTGACCCTTGAAAACAATAATTAAACAGCATTCCTGGACCCCTCTTCTTTCCATCCCATAGGATCATATCCCATAGGATTCTTTCAAAAAGATCCCTAAAGAGCCCAAAACTGTTCTCCTTAAGTTTGGAGTTGTGATCCTGTTGTTTATCTTGTTCCCTTCTCTCAGGATCCTGATGGTTTCTGTAATTGCTTTTTTCTAGGCTAATAATAATACATATAACTAATTATCTATAATTATATATTATAAAAACAAATATTTATATAATATTTATCAAAATAAGATATTGAAAAAATGTATTAATATAATACATACAATTTTTCACAGTAACTCTAAGAAGTATTTTCAAGCCTGTGTAAATTAAATCAGGTTTATATTAAGTGGCTTCCTGGGCAAAGTGTAGATTCTATTTAGATGTCAATTCCATACACAAAACAGATCGTATGTAGATTTTTAAAGCATACTATCAATTTATAGCAAAATATTCTACAAACATACATGCTCTCAGAAAGATCTGAGTTCTGTTTGCAAGAGGGAACATACCTGAAATGGCATAGTCTCCATTTGGTGATGCTACAGTTATTGCTGATGCATTGCCAATGCTCTCCACTGGCCCCAGACCAACGTGGTTACTGAAACTCAGCACATGCCAGCCCATAACTTTTGCAAGCTGCTGAACTGCATGTACTTGGTGCTGTGACATCTGCAACATAACAAGAGGTTTGTTTTCTGTTCAATATTTGCAGACCATAGAAAGAATTGCTTATGTAGTTTAGCAAGTCTGTTTTCTGTACAATAACTACTTATAAAAGTAATTTTAAGTTCTCTACTTTCAGAGAGCTTTTTTTAATATGATGGTAGAACTTTGTATACATATAAACAGACACATTTAGACTAGTTCCTTCACTGAAGAGAAGACCACTCTCTTACACAGTTAAATGATTTTTTCGTTGGTATATGCTCTTAGCCATTTTATTTAAATGACACTATCAATTTACAAAAATCTTTATTTAGATCTCAGAAAATTAGTTTGTAAACAATCCTCTATTTCAACAGAAACAAGACTTCTGCTGTAAAATATATAAAAATAAGAGAAAGTATTAGCAGAAAAAATTCAGAAAAAAAAGTTGAGGTCCTCGCATGCATGCTTATCTCCATTAATGCTCAAGTGTAAGCACTGAGTTCTAACAGCTTAGGAGTTTAAATGCTACTGTTTTCCTGTATCATGACTTAACCCTTGTAACAAGGAAATATCCAGCACCATTCAGCAGTTCTCTGTGAACAAGTCTGACAACACTTGAGCAAAAAGACACGACCTCAGCAGAATCTGTTTCAACTTGTTTTCTGTGTCATGGAGTTTTATGTAACTGCAACAGGCCAACCACTGCTATTAAAGACCTGTATTTGACTATTTATAATGCATAGTGGGGAGATTGTTACTTCTGAGTAAAACCAGCAGGTTGCTCTAAGCAATTAAGAAAACAGAGTTCATTCAAGTATCAGCTGATTTAGTAACAACAGATGTAAAGTGAGCATTAACAGACAATGTTGAAATGACAGTAATTGTGGGTTCATTAAAAACTTAGCTACAGCAAGTTTCATATATAGAATACTTTATTGTCTGCTATGATTACCACTGACTTGTTTCTCCCATAATGAGCAGCATAAAGAAATGCATTTTAAATTGGAGGGAAAAATTACTATGACTACTGACCCTAGTTAAAAATGGCAATATATTTTAGTAACAGTTGCTAAAGACTCTACACAAACATAGTGAAAATTCAGTCATCCAGCTTCCCTTCTCCACTATCTTAATTTGAACTTTTTAATATTTTCTACATAGACGAAAGTGAGATTCTAACTTCTTTCTGTTTCCCAAACATCACGAGAAAGGGAAGTATAAGATACGTGCGTCTACCTGAGATAAAAGGAAATCCTGCAGTTCTTGCTCTTGATGAGACAATGTAATAACTCTTCCATCTCTATGCACAACTCTGATTTGTTCAACTCCAATGTTCAGCTGTAGTTGAATGGATCTTTGAAGACAAGATCCATATTTATTCAAAAAGCATTAAAACGCTTAAGAAAACAGGAAACTAAGAACACAGAATCCCACCCAATCATTGACAGGAATTCCTAAGACAGATGCAAAGCCTACAGAATGGGACAGCAACTCCAAATATTCCAGTTTCATCAGTCACCACAATAGCTGCCTCTATATGGCGGGTGACATATTCTGTGGCATGCTCCCAGACCTGGCCTACCATTTGTTCAGGTCACGGAAGCTTCACAGCTCCCTGCCCGCCCCACATCCAAGTTTCCTTCCAGTTGTGCAGGGGAAAATGCTGTGTTCTATGCTACAGACAAAACCTGGGCAGCTTATGTACTCTGGGATAAAGACTGGAAATGCACCAATAGTCATTTGCCCCACAGCAGGTTGCCCCATACTGTGGTCACAGCCAGAGAGCACTGCTCTAAGAAAACACTGTTGATGCATTAATGAATTCACTGCTGGTCAGTCTGCAAGCATTTATTTCTGGAACATCAAATCTCATATTTCAGTAACAACATGCATAATTACTGCATGAATTACAGGAGTTGCACATTTTAGTACATATGCAACCAAGCCAGGACTGAGCAGATTAGCTTTCGATGACCGGACTGGAAGTTTAGAATCCAGCACCATCAAATGATACTTTGTATTCAGTCATCTCTAGCCAAAGGAAATTCCCCGACCCCGCTACCACTAAGTGTCCATTCTCATCTTAAATTTCTTCTTTGAGAGAAAACTGTACTAATTAAAGATGTACTAAAGATATCTTCATTAAAGGGTAAAGTGGGTGACATTTTCTTAAGGTGACTGTTCATCCTACAGTGAAGTCAGAAAAACAAATACACACAAATAACAGACTCCTACTTGTCTGTCTGAAGAGAATCTAAACTTTTAAAGCACAACGTAAATACACGCTGCCTTTGCTTAATGCCTTTACAACTAAAAGGACATGCACTCTCATACTTACTTGCATATCTGCTCATATCCTTGAGAAGTTATTAGAACTTTAACACTGGATTCATAAACATCATTGATATTGGACCAGTGAGCCTGAATCTGAGGATCCTCAATCCGACTCGCCAGACTGTCAATGGTTCGAGCAGTTCTAGAAGATAAAGCCATATTCCACACACAGTAATCAGGCAGTTTGTGCTGTTATCTTGCTCTCAGGAAGCAAGGAGGTTATTAGATTTAATAGAAACATGTGGATCAAAATTCCATTTCAGCACTGCTCTGGTGCTAATGAAGTACAGTTTATTCTGTACATTTCTCATACATTCTGCAGCACAATTGAAGTGGTATTACTCAGTATTAGCTACTGCACTGCTAAGAATACTAAAAAGGATTTATGCACTTTGAGATAAGTAGGGACAATTATCAGCAGCTTATGTTGCAACTGTCACAGAGATCTCAAAGAAATCTGGTATTTTTAGTTTTTACTAGCTGAATGTTGTTTTCTCATATTTTTTCATAATTTTTTTCATAAATTTTGATTCTTAGTACTTACAAAAAAAGACTGTTAACCATGAAACAGCAGCTAGTTTTAAAAACACTTAAATAGACAATTGTATTGTATGTAATGGTACATGGTACTGTAATAAGAGTATCTCGTGACCCACCTTCGTCTCAAAAATATATGCTTTGCCTGTTTTATGATCTTTTCCAGAAGTCCTTCATTCGACTGTAAAGAACTGATTTCATTTTTATCAAAAGCCTGGGGCCCTGCAAGTCTCATCCTCTTATGGCCAAAAGGTGCACTAGCTGGATGTGGCATCACTGTCGAGCTCAGGGTTTGCTTGTGACACTGCAACAACCAACAGATGTTATAAAAGGAAGGCACCAAATAATGTATCTGCAGGAAATATTATGTATCCTACAATATGTTGCTTTACATCAGGTTTTTTGAGTGTACATGCTTTCAGAAAGTGCAACTTTTTAACTTTGTCAGCCTGACAGCACTTTAGAGACAGTTCTTCATACTTTGCTTCCTCCATTTATGTGTCTTTCAAACCTTATAGAAAGTAATTAGAAAAAAAAAAGTGCTAGCTAACAGAAATTTGGAACAATGGCAGTAGTTCCAACTAATAAGTCTTCTTTATATACATCTATGGAGATAGAAAGAATGGTCACTTAAAAATAAAGGAAGTATTTTAGACAAAAAAAAATTGAAGCACAGAAAGTTTTAGCAGTATGTCCAAAGTAAAGGAAACCCACAGGAAAGGTGGGCACAGAACAAAAGCTTCATAAACCCTAAATGTGTTTAAAACACTGGACTGTTCCACATGACTGCATGACTTGCAGAGCCATGCTCTAAGGAGGTGAACACTCTCTGGAACATAGTTTCAATTCTACTTAGAGATGAAAAACTGGGCTTCTTTCCTGAAGAGAGATAACCTCAGCCTCATACCCTAGGTTATGCTAGATTATTCAAGAATCCAAGATGCTGAAGCAGAGAAGTGGACATTCAAATAAGCAAAGCTATTATGGCAATTGATTGTTCCTTCATGAGGGTATGGCTGACCAGATGTTCACTGGCAGGGCTTGGTAAGCATTATCAGACACAAAAAAGGGCAGAACTGATGAACTCTACTGGAAAAGCTTTGCATGGCTTTTCTGAAGTGAGCAGCCAGGTCTGAGGTTAAGTAAAGAACTAGCATGCCATGAAAGCATTAACTGGAACTCCCAAACCACCCACACCCATGGAAACCCAAGCAGCAGGCTGCCTTCCACAAACGGATGGAGAAGGACTGGCCTCTAGTGGCACTTGGCTGTTATACCAGGGCCACACACTGGGCAGCAGGCTGAACCAAAGCCCAAAAACTCTTCAGTACTTCAGCCATATATGCAGTACCTCTCTGATAAGTTGATGCAAATTATGTTCCAGAACATAGAGATGATCCTCTGGATTCTGTTTTTCAGAAGCAGCCTTTTGTGACTTTTTATCATTGGAAGAGTGACACAGAGAAATAGACAGCTGCAAACCTGTACAAAGCAGATGGGAAAAAAAAGATTTTAAAAAGTGAGCACTGACAATTTTCAAGATTGCCACTGAGAACTTCTTCACGTTTTATACTGAGTAGTTTAACAACAAGTATTCACAGTATCAAAGAAAAATCAAAGAATGATGGTGGAGAGCACAGCACCAAAGGCAAGTAAAACTTGATATTCACTGAAGTGTTGACAACTGTGAACTCACCAGATGCATTTCACATCAATTTCTATGACTCAATCCCACACAAAAAGAAGTCCCCAGGACCCCATTCCTTTCTCAAAGAAGAAGTGATTAAACATCACACACATTTTCAGCAATCCAGAAACATATTCTTTGCATGATACAAAGGGTTGTGTACCCCTTGTAAGAACAGAGGATTCACCACTGACTGTGAGCCACCTTTATGCTGTTTAATTATCCTCACTGAAGAGGCTTTTAGGCTTTTGAGGACTCATAAACTCAAGTCTTAAATTTCTTCTTACACGCAATCCAGGAGCAATGACTTATGCTCAGCTCCAAACTGCAACATGCACATGGCATTACATCTGACAGTTTTAAGTGCTGCTGACAAAAAACAACCACAAAGGAAAACAGAGTACATTAGAAACGACTATGCATTAGCTGAAATTCTGTTTCTCAAAACCTTTGAAAAATCAAGGAGTTTATTTTTTCTTTTGTAAGGACAGAGCGTTAAAAAAGGTGACATCAATCAGTATTTAAGGAAACAATTGTAGGCTAAGCATCTTAAAAAGCTTCCTACCTGGGAAAGGCTGGGAAATTATCTGATTTTTCACTACAATGTGAGGAATCTGTGATTTAATTTGAACAGCTTCTCGTGACAGCTGGGCAAAAATTTCTTTACATAGAAGAACATTCTGTGCAGTCTCCAACTTTGTCTGCCAGTGTGCAGAACCTGAAAAGTATAAATCAATGTTTGCAGGAGGGAAGAGCAAAGAGAAGCCACCTGTTTGTTCAGATGCCAAATACTATGCAGTAGCCAGGTGTAACCACTAAGATAAAGCAGTCAGTGCCTTATACCCAAATTGAGTATTATCAGAATTTTATCTCAGTTAAGCAAGCACTTGAGGGTAAAACTAAAACTAATTTTGATTCAATTTTACACATTATATTGCACACATTGTACATGTATATTGTGAAGTGCAACACCCTTATGGAACAGTGTATTACATTCCCATTCCTTTTGTGAAGGCCTCTCTTTATGAATCTCTGCTCCTTAAGTTTTAGTTTACTTTCAGTGATACTTCTGGCTTTATTAAATTCACTCTATGATGAACTACCCAGTAATGTTCAGTGCATGTATGTGCTTTCACAGGGTTTACAGGCCCAAAATTCTTGGGAGATTCTGGAGTGAGTAAGCACACAAGCTGCATAATGTGCCCTCAATACCATATGAAACACCTCATAGTACAGCACTGTCTATGTTCAGGACAGCACCAGCATCTGTATCAGACAACTGTGAAATAAAATCCTGCCAGTTTATTTCTAACTTTACAGAGTAAAGGATGGCTTTTTAACCCAAAAGTTTACAACTTCACATACTGGCACATATTAAAAGAATCAATGTAATTCATTTATTATGTGCCAGGTGAGCTGTTGGTAATTAACACACAGACCACCAGAGTTTCAGATCCAGATAAAACATTTGAGCAACAGACACAAATGATGCATTATGGGCAGAGTGGAGAGTGAACAATCACTAGTTCAGCTGAATTAATAGGATGTAACTGACTGAAACACAACACCTTGGTTTGATTTCAGTTATGGGCTCAAACTTTTAATGTCTAACAAAAGAGGCACCAGAATACTCAAAATACAACCCTAATAATTCTGTTTCAGAACTGAATAAACACATACAAAAAACTGAAGGAGCATGCTTTGAAAGCATGATTTCCAAAGCCCAGGCAGCACCCAAACAGAATATTTCAGTTTAAATAAAGGAAGTCTTATTCACTTTTCTTCCCAGATGTATGCTGAAATTTTCAAACAACCATCATATGCAAATTCACTCCTTGAGAGCATATTCCTAAAACAACATATGAACCGTACCTGGTTTTGATTTTGGCAAGGGTCTTTTAAAGAGATTGACTGTCCCGAGGTCACCAATGTCTGGTGCTTGTTTTTGAATAGAGACCTAGGCAAGAGGGAACAATATTTAATGTTTATTCTCTGTTGCAAGCACACAAATCTAAAACAAAACTCCACTAGGTTATTAAGGTTTTTCTGACAAACCTTGATGTATGCTGATCCCTCTAAATCACTTGGAATTTGAACATCCAAAGGGCAGTAATCGTCAGGTATTTTTTTATCCAGGTCAATGTCAGTGTTCTTTATCACCTCAAATGTGCCATGATGAAGAAAAAGGGAGCCTGAGGAAAGAAGGACAAAGACATACACATTAAATATTGAGCACCTTCTGCAAATAAAAAGCTCATATTTCTGTTTTGGAAGAATATGTAACTCTGAGTCTCCAAATCTTCAGATCTGCACTTGAGTCACATTTCTTAATGACTTCTTAAAAAAACCCAGGTAAATAAGAAAGCTTATGCCACTGTACCAGCATGTCAATCCTCCACTGTGCAAGGTGTAATATCTTACAGTAAGTTAACACAGAGTATTCAATAATTATGGGAGGAAGCTGAGAGTTTTTTGAAATTGAGTCATTAGGTGCAAGGAAGGAGAAAAAAGGAAAAGATATTTGGTTGAAAAAAGACAAAAAGTAAATGTGTGAAGTTTTGCAAGCAGGTAGTTAAAGGTACAACATCCTTATTGATTTAAAGGAATTGTGATGATGTTTGCCTAGAAATCTTAAAACTATGACCCTGTTCTGACTGTAAAAGGTAACTTCATAGGCAGTCATTAAGGGACTGATAAAAGCAGATACCCACATCTGTCCTAGTTGTATATCTTTTTCATTCAGGGCACAGTTCACCTAGTTCAGGGTAAATCAACTAGAAACAATACATAGCCTGGGGTACATCTACAGCTTTTTCATGAATAAATCTCAATTTGTCCTTCCCCTCTCTCACCAATGCCAACAGGAACCCAACACATTTGGTTCTGATGCCTGCTTTGTACCTACATCCTAAGTTCTGTGTGATCTGTATTCACTTTGTCACTCCATAACGGCCTCTAGAACCCTGGGCTGCTCACTCCCTTTAAATGTAATCCATGAATTAAGGCATATCCTCAGCATCACTTCTCAACTGTAGGAATAATAAATATAATAATCTACCTTCAACATCACTCTTTAGTTTAATTCATACCTGGTATGAATTCTGGGAAGCAGGGAGTGAGACATCATAAGCCTTTTGGGTCCCTTCTAACTTGAGATATTTTGAGATTTTCTGATCTTTGATTTAAAAAAAAAGTAACCAACTCTTCGCTTTTTTTTTAATGCTTTACACACCAAATGTAGATAAAAGCCAAGGATTTACAAAGTCTGCCCATCAACTGATCAGCTACATTGCAAATGCAGTATTGTTTTTCTGAACAAATTCTTAGTAAAATACTACAGTTAGCCTTTAAAATCACTTTCTGGATTGAAGATGCCAAGATATTTTTGCTGATACTAAAACAAGAGTTCTCCCTTTATAAACCTGTCTCATAAATAAATTCACATTGAAATAATTTATTAAGATATATTCCATCTCTTTTTCCAGTTACAAAAAGACAACTTCATAAAATATCCCTTCTTGTGAAAAAAGATCCTACTGTTTACCTGCACTTCTGTAGCTCAGATCACCAAGAATTTTATCTCCCACTTTTCTCAGCTTCCAGTGTTGTCTCAGTCTTAGCAGTTCAGAGTTGAAGTCTCTTTGTCGCTTATTTTCCTGATTTTCAGCAACTGATTTGGATAATCTTTCTGCACCTTTCAACAGGATCTGAGCTGCTCCAGCTAATGACTTCTTTTTTGAAATCAGCTGTAGAAACTGAGGATTCTAGTACCAAAAACAACAATAAGATACTTGCACTTTATTCACGAAAGATGATGATGATTATTATATTATATAATTTTAATTAATATTTATTTATTTATTATTAGTGGAAACTAACAGACAGTGACTGATATGCTGTTTTTGTTGGATGTCCAGTAATTCATTCAGAATTACTTTCATACCACCATTATACAGTTGGAAGTAGCATTTTGACTTAAAGCTTCAGCAAACAGGCTTCTGAAACTGATCTCAACTCCCATCTCCAGCCTTACTCTGACCCTCAAAGCACTGCACTAGCACATCAAAAGGAACATTTTGATAGATTTTGTACTGATCACACGTGAAAAAGAAAAGTCCACAGGAATAAAATCTTCAGCGTCAAGCCACACAAAGTGCTCAACTAGGTACAACATACTTGTTTTGGAGGAAGGGGATCCTGCCCGACTGGATCTAGAGTCATGAACTTCTTATCCTTCACAATGCTAAGAACGTCATACAACACACACATCTCAGTCAAGGCACTTCTTAAGTTGTTCCTCACTGAATCCCAAGGCCAGAGGGATGGCTGGAACTTTACCAACCCTAAAAATAAAAAAAAAGGAAGGAAAAACAAAGGACATTAAAAAGGTACGTGTAAAGCTGATTTTTGAACCACAGGGAGATCATAACGGCATGAAATGATGCGGTGTTGATGCGGTGTTGTCTTTCCCTCTCCAATTTACTGGGGCTGGGTCACGAACACTGTGTCCAGCCCCTGGGGGAAGGCAGGCCAGGCCCAACCTCCCGCGGAGCCGCAGGCCGGCACCGTCTCAGCGCGACGGGCCTCCAGCAGCCGCATCCCGGCCGGAGGGCTCGGGCTCCCGGCCCTTCTCACCTTCCTCATCCTCCGTCTCGCCCGCCTCGGCCCAGGGCCGGCCCGCCGAGCCCGGCTCGTCCTCCTCCGAGCCGGAGCCCTGACTGAAGTCGATGCGCTGCGCCAGGCGCGCCAGGTTCTGGGACATGGAGAGCGGCTGGAGGTAGGTCTCGCTGCCATCCAGCCCCACCTCCTGCACCTGCTTCTCGCACGCCGACTCGATGCTGATGCGCACGGCCGGCACGCCCGCCATCTTGGAGCGACCCCCGCCCGCACTCGGCAGGGGGCGGGCCCTGCAAGGGGCGGGGCCAGCGCCGGGCGGGCTCGGCCATTTCCGGAGGCGGTCGCGAGGGAGCGGGACCGGTGCCGAGCGGGCTCGGCCATTTTCGGAGAGAGCTCGGGAGGAGGCCGGGCCAGGGCCGATTGGGCTCGGCTGCCTCCGGAGGCACTCGGGAGGGGGCGGGGCCAGCGCAGTGAGGGGTCGGTGCCGGGCGCAGGCCTCGGAGCTGCTGCAGTTTACTTCTCCGGCCTTATTTTTGACCAGAAGTTGGTTTCATGTCCCGTTCTAAACATAACTTCACCTCTAGTTCCCCATGGTCTGCTGTGGCCACGCAGGAAGCTCAACCAAACAGAAGGAAAACATACAGTAACATTGCCATTAAATTGCCGTTTGAATTCGGTCGTAACTCCAATGAAACATATACACCAAGTTGTGCCTTTTGACACAATTAAGAAGGCGGCAGCTGACTATTCTCATATTTATTCTTAAATCTGATCAGTGATAATTGAAAGCGTTACAAAAATCAGCGTTTGTACTTGAGGAAGATGCAATCGCCGGGGCTCAGTCTCTCCCGACGGGATGCGTCTCCTGGGGCCGGTCGATGCGGAAGAGCAGCTCGGCGGGCTGGAAGTAGCCCAGGTACTGCACGCTGTCCGGGCTGGTGTCCTGGTGGTAGTGCCCTCCTTCCCCGTGGTGGCTGAAACAGTGCGTGTGCTCCACGCGCAGATCGAAGCCCTGGCACCACACAGAAACCTGTCACCAACGCGCTCATGGGAACAGCATTTAAGTCATGGGATAGTCTATCCTGACACGCATTTCCACACATCTCCAACATTAAGCAGTGAAAACTTGCAAGACACTTGTGAAACCAGTATGACAAAAGAATTTAGAAACCCTGACAACCCCCAGCTTTCGGTGTTAATCTGACTGAGATGTCCTTTTTAACCCTTTTTTCCAACTACCTTTCTTTCCACTGGGATTAAATAATGCAGTCACACCAAAGAACCCCTACTGGAAATCAAACCCTTTGCACTGAATTGCCACAGGCCCATGTGATAAAGGGGCCTCTACTGTCTCTACTGCATGTCTCTACTGCAATTCTGAGAGTCAGCTTAGATTAATACAGGAAGAAAAATTAATAAAATAGCAACTAACATCCTAAACCACGAGATCAACACGACCAGTATTATCCATCTTAGAATGGGTTGGGTTCAAAGAGACCTTCACAGATGATCTATTCTAACCATCCTGTCATGGGCTGGGACATCTTCCATTCAACCAGCTTGCTCAAAGTCCCATCTAACCTGGCCTTGAACACTTCCAGGGATGGGGCATCTACATCTCTGGACAACCTGTTCCACTGTCTCTCCACACTTAGCCTAAAAATTTTTTTCCACATGTCCAATCTAAATCTGTTTTGTTTCAATTTAAAATCCTTGCCTCTTCTTTTGTTGCTACATGTCCTGGTAAAAAGTTTCACTCTATCTTTCCTAAAAGCCTCCTTTAAGTACTGGAAGGCTGCAATAAGATCTTTGCAGAGCCTTTTCTTCTCCAGGCTGAACAATGTCAGCTCCCAGTCTCTCTTCAAAGGATGAGGTACTCTAGCCCTTGGCTCATTTTCATGGCCCTCCTTGGGCCCTGCTCTAACAGGCCCCAAAGCTACATGTAGCCCTTCAGGTGGGGTCTCATGAGGGAAAGAATCCCCTTGCTTGACCTGGCCACACCTAGTTTGACATAGCCCAGGACATGATTAGTTTCCTGGGCTGCGAGGGGATAGGGTAGGTGGACCATCGCATTCCGATGCCATAGTGCTATGGCATTGGAATGCCATGGTCTCCTGCTCTTCTTTGTAGGGACACTCAAACATTTCCACAACCACAGGCCCAGCCAAATGCTATTGAGCTTGCAGTGGATGCAGACAGGAGAAACCCAGAGGCATCCAGCACACGAGTTGCGTTGATTCTGAATGGAGCAGCTGCCGATGGATGATTTCAAAGGATGCCTCAGTGGATTATGGGAAGATACAGTTTAGCCTTAGGCCAAAGGCTGCCACATAATGACACAATAAAATCACACCCTTCAACGTATTTAAGCCTACAGTATGTCCCACTTACCTCTGGGAAAAAACATTTTAATGTTACTCATGACAGCATTGTTATCTATAAAATAGCCATTTTCATCTGTGGTTTTCTGGTTACTTTTAAACAAATAGTTTTCCTAATTATGAACACCTTAATGGTTTTTTAAACCAGATTGGTGTTTATCCTGAATTATTTGCTGTTGAACTTGGTGCTTGTGAAAGATGCTAGGTAAATTTCCAGCATGAGGCTTTGCAGACTTTAATTTACATCAGCAACAGGACACATGCTTCATGTGTTTTGACACAGCATTAGCAGAGGGAGTTGTTAGGAAAGTGAACTACATAAACAGGTGGCTGAACCACCCTCCATGCTCTTGACATTTCTCTCAGTGTGGCCAGCAGTGAATGTAAATCGTACTGTTGGCTTTGGGATGCAACCACTTGCAACATGCAACAGAACCATGAAATTAATCCACTATGAACAACCACTATAGGTTTCAGAACAGATTGACCTATCCTCAATTCAAACAGTTCACAGAAATAAGAAGCTTCTCAATCATTTTCTCAGCTCTGGAAGAGCTGAACACTATATCTATATCTATATCTATATCTATATCTTTATCTTTATCTATATCTATATATCTATATCTATATATCTATATACACACTCCCATTCTTGAAAGGAAAATCACATCCAAGACAAAATTCACTACAGGTCTCAGTCTATACTTAGAAAGGAGAAAAAGAGACTCACTGGATCTCTGGAAACTATTACTGGCTGACAAATCAGTGGGGCCTTCATTTCAAAGAATTTGAGCCAGTTATTCACATCCTCATCGGTATTCAGGGGACAAGAAGAAAATTCTGGAGGCTAGAGCAAAAATAAAAGCTTTTTAAGCAAAAGGAAGACACTTGCATCAGGATACTTTTCTCTTGCAACTTTGCTTTTTCCCTCCCCACTATTTGGTTCATTTTCCTAAATGACTGAAAGAGGCTCACAGTGTCCATCACTCTGTTTCTTCCAGAAGAAGCGACTGGAATCTTATGTCTTTTATTGCACAGGTAGTGGGAGAACTACTGAAGTGAGGATGCTCCTCCTCCTGGTACATTTTACCAGCTCAGTTATTTTTTAAAAACTTTAATGCTTCTTATAAGTGTCCTCTGAGTTCATGTATTTCATTTCAATTCATTTTACAATTGTTCTCCAGTTCTGTAGCTGCACACAGATTTCAAAAGATGATGGCCTTAATGCCAACTAAAACAGAATTACTAGTTTTGTAACACTGATTTTGTAATGTCAACTCCTGACTTTAGTACCGTGCCCATCCTAATAGTTTATGCATACATTTAAAAATATAAAACAAAGTGAAGGAATTAAGATGTTACACCCTGATTTATACTTCTGTTTTCAGGAGGACAAAGAAAGTTACATGCACTGAGAACAACGTACCATAATATGAATCTTTGCTTTCCCCTTCTGAATGATAAACGTACCACCCATCCCAACTGGCTTTTCTCCATAGTGTTTCTCTAAAGTTTGTCTCAGACAGGTCACAAAGTTAAGCTCCCCAGTTCTTCCATTGGCTTTCACTTCGATGACCTGGAAGATAAAGTCAGTTTGTTACTGCCATCTGCTGCTGCAATAGTGTGAAAAGGTCTGTGAGAGCTGTTCTGAAATTCTCCCAAGCTGATAATCCAAGATCACTTTTTGAAAGGATAAGCTTCCATGCAAGTGCTGCTGCATCTTTCCAGTTTGTGACCAGCTCTCTTTTCCTTAGTTAGTTCAATGCTAGCTTTGCCTGTAAAGGGAGCTGGGCAGCAAGAGATTTACCCATGTATGAGACAGTGACTTGAGCAACTCCCTTCTCTCCACCAGCTGGCTTCCACTCTGTCAGAAAGAAACGCTGGGTAACAGAGAAGGCCGTTCAGTTTCCATGCAGCACTCAGGTTTTCAGCACCTCTTAGTGCTGCCTGTGTCAGGAGAAGCACTTGTGCAAAAAACTACCTAAGTGCCCATGTCTTATTTACACAATTGCACCATTACTTTAAGTCACTGCTAGTTTGGATTGGATTTGGATGAATGATTTATGATGGGAAAATTTTTGTAAACTAATACCTATCCCTCAAAAATTCAAGTGCCTCTGTCTCCACTAATTCTTCCCCTCAATCACTGGCATCAGTTCCTTATTTTTGCATGTTTCTCTTGTGGGATTACTACTTTACTATTATCACAGAAAGCTGATAAGAGAACCATGAGTTTCCAGTCAGTCACAAAGCACTGCAAAGTCACCTTAGATGGAAGTACATACCTTACCAGGTTGGCCCTCGCTGGCATAAAGGTTGGCCAACAGTCCAAACTCACAATCAGTGTATTTACTGCTATACTTCTCAAGCAGGCACCCTTTATCTGCAGGATTTATCTGAGCAACGTAGCTCCCATTTACAGCAGGCTTTTTTTCACTCTTAGTTTGAACAATAGGGATAAACTGGGAAAAAGAATATATAAGAATAAGTCAATAAGAACACGTAAGAATCCGCCAAATGAGCTGAACTCACATAAATGTGATTTAAGCTTTGGACCATGATCCCACGAAAAAATCCTCTTCTTCACACAGCTCTGTCTCTCAGGATGAGGTCTGTACTGGTAAGAAAAATGCACTAGTATTGTAATGTAATTGAAAGGTCCAGAAAACAGGTGAAAGGTCCAGAAAACAGGTCTATTTTTTCTGAACAATTAAACTTAATGGAATATAAAGATGAATGCTAGTGTTAAAAAAAAAAAAAGACAAAAGAAAAAATATTTATAGTCTGCATGCAAGTATTGGAATTCTATGTGATACTCTCTCAGTGTACAGTAACAACCACTATTACAGTGGCCCAAATTTAATGTTGATATGGACTATCT